AACCAAACACAAATGTCTTGTTATGACTATAGTGATTCCAATTTTGGCCACTTCACCACATTAGTCCTGTTTGAAATATCTCAACAACTGGATGAACGGCTTAACGGTTTGCCATGAAATTCTATAAAGACATTCATTATTTTTTTATTTTATATCTTTATCTTCTTTTAAAAATATGGTGAAGCAACTATTTACCAAGTCCTGTACCTGCTTTTAGTGTATTTTATCCTCAAACCTTTTATTCTTACGTTTGTTTGTGTATTGTTTTTTATGGCTGTATTGTATTTTCTGCTCTGTGCTGCCTCTTGGCCAGGTCGTTATTGTAAATGAGAATCTGTTCTCAATTAACCTACCTGGTTAAATAAAGGAAAAAATAAAAATAAAATAAATAATTATTTCCTGAGGATACGTGGTATTGTAATGTCTTTAGGGATTCCCTGGCTGTTTTGTGGCAGATCTTATTTTTGATTTTAAATTACATGTGTCAAGCTTTTTCTCATACGATAAATGTAATAAGTGACATTCATTAAGCGAAATCATCAAAGTAACATTTAAGTTAGTCAAAAACATTGATTTTGTACCTACTTTAACTGTTTTGCTTGCTTTAACTGTACTCTGGCAAAACAATTTCCTTCGGGATGAATAAAGTTTATCTTTATCTTTATCTTTATCTTTACAAAACATTTACCACAGTGTTGTTGTACTTTGTATTTAGTGCTATTTGGTAAACACCGGCATGCTAACACACTACACCAAGATGGTGAATGTGGTAAACATTATACAGATAAGTTGTTACCATTGCCAGTGTTAGCATGTTGATGTCAACATGCGAAAGTGCTGCCTTGTATACTTTCTGGTTCAACATGTCAGTTAGACTGAGATGGTTTTTCCAATCGCTACTGCTTTTAAAAAGAGTGGCCCTAATGAACTGCAGGAAGTGAAATTGACGATCAGTTCATTATTCATGCTGCTCATTCTCAGTTTAACATCAGTACAACGAGAATAAGCTTCCAAAAACACTGTTGTAGTTTTCAATAGACTGTAGTTGGGAACTTGTTGACGTGTCTCGTTTTCTGCAGATATCTCAAGTTGCATTTACTGCAGCCAGTGATTCTGAGTTGAAAGAGTATTGCGATCCATTATGTTGACAGAGTAATAAGTCTTTTTCTATATGTGGGTTCACCCACCCATGGCCATGTTTGTGAGGTACAGTTATACAGAAGCTGGACCGGTGCCAGGGCAAATTGGATTACGTCTCCCAATGTTCCCTCAAGTGTTTTATTATCCCTGTGCTGAAGGCATAATGTGATTACTTGGTGATGCCCTTTGTTCGGCACACTATTATCCTGATGCTGTGTCCACAAGTTCATTAACAGCACATTATGACTTGTTATACACAAGTACACTGCAGAGGCCGCTGAGCTCGCACTGTATGAGTCATTCATGTTGCGTTGGGCTGGATAGTCTCCTACTGTACGTGGGCCACAACTAAAGTGCACTGTAATTGAATAATGGACTCTATGTGCAGTATATTACATAAACAGTGTAAGTGGATTTAAGTGATAACAGTTATCAATTCCTGCCTCATTCTACATTTTTACCCAACTGCCTACCTGTGGCATGAATCACAGTTTGTAAAAATGAGGATGACATATAAAGAGCATGACAACTAATCTTGAAAAACAATCTTAACTTGACATCCATTAACCAGCTTTTCTTCCCAGAACTTTCACTTGAATTTTATGATTTTCATCAGAGTTTGCTCTGTTGTCATGAAGAAAGCTTTGTTGTCATCTTGTGACCAAAGTGTGGGACTTTCAGTTTTGACTGGATATGGACAGAGACTTAACTTTGCTGAAAACTTCCTCAGAACTCTCCTTTCCAGCAGTCCACACCAGAGTTTCTGTTCAGAACCTCCAAAAACTCTATTACCTAGACGCTGACTGCGGATGTCACCTTCTTCACTTGACTGACCAAAGCTCCAGCTGCAGTTGTGCTGTCTTAATCACAGCAGAAGTAGATTAACCCCTTCTACCCCAAATTCTATTTCTATGCAACTAAACTCCATTTATAGTCTGAAATGTAAGTCTGTGACATAGTAAGAAAGGCTTCCAGTTTGAAGAAGTTACAAATCCTGCACAAGGAGGTAGAAGGGTAGACGGGAGACATGAGTTAACAACAGTGTGCATCCCTTGTGGGGCCATTGTTTCATTTTCATTCATTGTTTATGGTTTTCACTCACTGTTCAGTTAGATTTTGGTAGCAAAACTACACAGCTAGGTGTAGGAAAAACCTTTTCACAACAGCCATTTTAGAAAACATAGTGCTTGTGCTGCTGTGGTCACAGCTGGAGAAAAGGAACCATGACCTCCAAAAGCTGAACGTGTTTGTCTAAAACAATCCACAACAATGTGTATGTGATTACTGTGCTGACTAATATTGCTTTGATTGGTTGAAGCCAAGGGCTGCAAGGTGGCGCA